GCAAAGCCCATGCCAAAGTATTGCGACAAGATGGAGTGGTCCGCATTGACAATGTCTTGCCCGGCTCCTTGGCAGACGAAATGAGAGAATTCGTCGTGGAATTGCGACAAGACAGTCACGAACAAGTCTCCAGTGGCAAACTCAAATCCAGAGAACGATATGCCGATGTCCTGTTGAAGGAAAATCGTTGTGATTTGACATTGCCCTTGACGAATCAGCTGACGGCCGATTGTCTTGCTGCTGTACTCCAACAATCGCCCGTGGGAGAAACCATTGCCAATTTGTTGACGAAAGATGCCGTCTTGTACGAACTCAGTTGTCTGACATCCGACCCCGGCAGTCATCGACAAGTCATGCATCCCGATACTCCTTGTGCTGGCGATGATGATGATCCAGTCTTATACACGTGCTTTGTGGCATTACAAGATATTCAATTGGATATGGGACCTACTACGTGGATGCCAGGGACACACACATTGGAGGCGCATGAACAATTCAAAGATGAAACGGTGTCTTCGTCCGAGACAAAAAGTCCCAAAGATACCTTGTTGGAAAAGGGACCCGTCGTCTTGGGGTTGCTACCGAAGGGATCTTGTGGGATCTTTGATTCGCGGTTGCTTCATTGTGGTGGAGCCAATACCAGTGCCGACAATAAATCCAGAGCCGTCTTTTACTTTTCCTGGAAGAATCCTTCCGTGACCAATGCGGGCAATCCAGGAAGTATTCGGCCGGCATACATCAATCAATACACTCTCCAAGCATTGGACAAGGAGTTGAAAAAGCATGTCAAGGGCAAATCAAAGCTGTTTGTCAACGATAGAAACTCGTTCGATTCTTGAGCAAGTACCGATATGTAAAAAGGGAAAAGAGTTCGATGCAATGCAGCCTGAGATGTTGCGAGTACGATTGTTGCAGCAAAGGAAGCGGAATGTACACAAACTGTAAAGGTAAAGCCAAGAGTGAATGAACCCCCTCTGAGCGAGCGAAAGGGCCGAGTCCAACCTGTAGGCAAACAAGAGGCTCCTACCTAGGAACCTCTTCAAAGTAGCACGAGCAGCGGCACTGTTACCAGAGCTCCATCCACCAAGTTACATAAAGTACTACTTCAAGAGTTACCGGTACGTCGTTACCGCGACTGTCTGCTCCTGTGGTTTTCTGCAAATTCAGATGGCGTCGAGTCCCGATGCCGATGAAACTCTCCCACTATTACGGTACCGCTTTGAACGGGGCTCGACCCACCAGAAGTGAGTGTATCGTAGCAATCTAGAACCGTTCAATACGCACCAACTGAACATGCCCTGGAGCGTCCATGGCTACGAAAGGCAAAAGTTCCATGTTGGGTTCTTCCGCCAAAAACAGGATTTTCATACTCGCACATGTGCCATAGACACTAGCCTTCAGCAAGGCAACCCCCGCCACTTCGTCGGGAAGATGCAGCGTCATGGTGACCGTGGAGCCCGAAGGAAACGAAATTCGGGACTTGTGTTGCAGTCGTTCGCAGGCCATGACCATGCCGTCGCTTCGAAACGCAAAAACTCTGTGTTTTCCTCCAAACACTGCCGGACGACGAGTCTTTTGACACCAAAAGGCAACACCGACGCAAAGACTATTGGCACCATCATCGAGAACTTGAATCGTCCAACGCAGTTTCATGCGCTTTTGAGTCTTGTCGGCGGGATACTCCAACACGTCCATACAATGTCCCTCCTTTGCTTGGGTGAAAGTGGACAAGGAACGTTTCCAAAAGGCAAGCCGAGCGACGGGAGGAATCATCCCGTACTGCTTTTGAGCAGCGACAGCTTGACTTCGGAATGCCTCGAGCAACATGTCTTGGTCCACCAAATCGGAAGTCATGACCAGCGAAGATGACAAGAATACTGGATCCATTCGTTCGAGGCAAAAGTGGTCAAGGACAAGCTCACGAGCCGATACTTGATCAATGGTCGAATGCTCGTACCACATATTCACAAGTTGGAAGAGCTGCTGTTGGTCTTTGGGTTGTCCTGCCGTTTCGTCCTTGAAGACCTCTTCCATTACGTACGAGGAAAGATCTCCCAAAAGGCAACCCGCGACTTCGTCCTTGAGACTGTCCAGACCGATGTCACTGGATTGAATCGTAGCCAAGGCACGGTCTAAGACTCGTTCTGGCACTTCGTCCACCCCATCGTCGAATTGTGCCAATACGGCGAGTGCCATCGCTGGGTTTGCTCGAAGGGACCGGTCCACGGCAAAGTAGGCTTTCTTACACAGTCCAGTCAAGTGGAAGGCTAGTGCAGTTCCCGTCAAGGCGACCAACGTGCGAACTCGCGATATGGCCTCGAAAGTCATGGACTTGTCGTCGTCGTCGTCGTCGTCGTCTTGTGGATCGAGCAGGTTGGCCGATCCCATGTGAATGAACTCCAACATGGTGTTCACCGCCTGACTGTTGTATGGAATGTCCACCGTCTCGGTTTTGGTAGTACCAAAGAGGATTTTCCGAAACTTTTCGCTTCGAAGTGCCAAGATGGACCGGTTTGCGCCGACCACGACGCCATCGTTGCAAACCAAGTCAACGTCGTGAAAGTTGTCGTCCGTCCAAAACGGAATGACGTCGCCAAGAGACTCATCTTTCATGCCTTTTGGTACGAGGCCTTCGGCTTCCATGGTCTCATTCATTGTTGACCGTTCCAAGCAAGCATTCAAGCAAGTACTCCAAAGTGTTCAACCTCCAAGAAGTGAGGTCGAAGCGAAAAGGGAAGACGTTTGTCGTCAACGTCCCGGAATTTGGGAAGATAGCTCATTAGGGATAAGGCTTATCCTGTTGAAGGCGCACGTCGGGAAATCCGCGTCCAACGTCACAGCAGAAAACAAGACGAAAGAAGGTCCTTGGTGTCAATGTTTGAGATGGCCCACAAGCCACAAACTGCAATGTCCGTTTGTCTCTGGGCCGTGATTTGATGTTGCACGAATTATACCATGGCGACCAAGAAGCAGCAACACCTAGCCCTTGTGATTCTAGCACTTTGTGTGGTTGAAGCTTCTGGATTCTCTCCGTCAAGGTTTCGGTTTGGACGGCCTCTGGATGGTTCATTACGGGTGTCTTCTCAGGTGAATGGCAACAGCGCGGGTTCTACTCAACAACAATACAACGGGGATAACAGCAATGGCGTCACTAGTAGTGCAGCGAGTATGAATCCCTATCGAACATACAGCGATTACCTATCGCGACTATGGAGAGAAACCAACCCACTCGCCAGAAAGAAAATTGCCGACAACAAGGAATTTCTTTCTGTCAAACACACCAGAGACTGCGTTCGTGGGGATGCATTCCTCAATGACTCTGTCGTGTCCATGGATCACCGACAAAATCTCTTGGATGCATGCGACACCTTTCTAGAAGACACAAAATCCGCGGCCGCCGAGGAGACAGTGCCAGTTGTAGATGTCGCCGCCAATGGCAAACCAAAAGAGAAGAAACGTCGAAGTGTCTCGTTTGGTGCCACCATGGGAGCTATTGTCGCATGTTGGGTCTTTTCTGGAAACTTTATCTTCACGGGCCTATTCACCCTCATGACCATTGCAGGGCAATTGGAATATTACCGCATGGTCATGAATACGGGAGTCTTTCCCGCCCGAAGAATATCTGTCATTGGAGCTGCTGCCATGTTTCTCACGGTGAGTTCCTACATTACTACTTGGTTGGGTTTGCACGGTTGTATCTGTGGTTTCTAGCTACACGTAGCTTTGGTGGGACGGGAGTTTCGAAGCTAACTCTCCTATGACTTTACTTGTCTATTTATTTGCAGGCATCGGTGGCTCCATCTTTGCACCAAGTGTGCTTGCCCATGTTTGGCCTTTTTGGCATATTACAGCTACTCTCGGATCGAGATGTATGTCCGTCCATTACCGATGTTGCAACCACCTTTACGGGAATGTTCTATCTCGGCTATTGTCCATCCTTTTGGTGTCGGATCCGTCTCCTCGGACCCCTGGAGCCGACAAGATTTCTACCCATGACGGAACCGTTGTTTGCCTTTTTGAAACAAAACATTGGTCTACTAGCCTTTCTTCCAAAGGCACTGCCCGTGCCAGTGACGGGAGGCGCAATCTTTATCTTTTGGTCATGGCTTTCGCTGGCATTTAGCGATGTGGGAGCCTATTTTGTTGGTAGAAAATTTGGAAAAACAAAATTGAGTTCCATGACCGCAGCGGCTGGCAAAACCAGTCCCAACAAATCGGTGGAGGGTGTCCTTGGAGGTTGCGTCGTGAGTGCCGCCCTCTCGACACTGGGTGCGTGGGCGCAGAGGTGGCCACTCTGGCCCCTCACGGGGGCAGTTCACGGTTTGATTCTGGGATTTCTTGGTTTTGTCGGAGATCTCACGGCATCCATGCTGAAACGAGATGCCGGCCTCAAAGACTTTGGAGACCTCATCCCTGAACACGGTGGAATTCTAGATCGCGTGGATAGTTTCGTTTGGACCGCACCCTACAGCTGGTTGGTCTGTTCCACAATCTTGCCGGCGTTACGGTCCATGACGAGATAGATGATGCCCTGTTCCGAAACAGCGACCCACCATGTGGTTGTTGTGGGTGGCTGAGCTAGCTAATGCATACGTACATAGATCTCAGAGCTACGTTGTATGTTCGAATGCATGTATCGTGTCCCCGCGTGTAGTCTTTATTGGATAGAACAACCATGCACAATTCGCAAGGAATGAAAGTTGAAATTGTGAGGATTCCACGAAATTGTAATTGTGAGGAATCGAATCAGCAAAATTTGTAATTGTGAGGAATCAGAGGTAAAATTGTAATTGTGAGGAATTAGCAAAATTGTAAAGTGAGGAATCTGCAAAATGTGAATTGTCAGAATGCTTAACAAAAAAGAATTCGTCAAAAAGAAGAATTGTGAGAAATCATCAAAAATATGAATTGTGAGAAATCGGCCAAATGTGAATTGTGAGGGATTGGAAAATGTGAATTGTGAGGAATTGGCAAAATGTGAATTGTGAGAAATCGGCAAACAATGTGAATTGTGAGAAATCGGCAAAAATATGAATTGTGAGGAATCCAATCGGATCAGAAAATGTGAATAGGTGAGAAATCGGAAAATTGAAATTGTGAGGTTTTCCGATTCAATCGGAAAATCAGAATTGCGAGGTGAGAAAACTACAAGAAGTGTGAGGAATGTGAGGAATGGCTAGGTCCTTCATTCATAGTTTTACCTATAGCACAGTCAAGTCGGCGTGATGCATTCAACATGTACCCACGTACTGTACCGTAGACAAGTACCGTACGATACCACCAAACCAATGCCTCCAGTTTGAATTTCCGGTGCCACGTTCGAAATGGGGATCGTGAGGAAAACCCAATCACCTCCATGGAAATCATACAACTGTGCAGAATACCAGCCAGCAAGTAAGTAGTGGAACAGTTAGTTGTATGTAACTATAATATACAGTAAGCTTGCAGGTCGAGCATGATATCACTGGCAACAGAATTTGAATTTGGAACAACGTCCCAAATCGAAACCACCAGCAATCGGTCTTCATAAATCATCGTCGTCATCCTCATCGTCTTCTTCTTCGCCCCCATCATCCGTGGTGTAAATGTTCTGATCATCCTCACCCTCCGAATCACTCTCTATGGAAGAGTCTGACAGTGAAAGAACCTCCTCCGGTGTTGGGGTGGCGGGCAGTTTGTAGTTTTTTTCGAGGAAATACCGTGTCGTCAGATACTCTTGAATACGGAGTAACAGGAAACGTTCCGAGACTTCGGCTGAGGGGGAATGAAAGAGGCCATCGAGCCGATCGGAATATCCACTGAACGTGCATCCCGTTTGAAATTTGTAGCTAGCATCGGACCTCATGAGTGGTCTCATGAAGGAGTAGAGAAGATTGGCCGCCAAGGGAGTCCTGATCCATGACAGTTCCTTATGCTGAAAGGGATAGTGCTCACAAAGGTCGGAGAATATTCGTCGAATGTGGGTAAGGTTGAAGTTCTTTTGTGACATGCCTTTGATTGTTGGAGAGAGGATAATAGTCTAATGAGCAAGAAAAAAGATCAAGTAAAAGCCACAGCTTGGGAAGCCATCGTTCCACTTACCCTCGCACTCTCCAATATGTACCACCCCTTCTCGAATTGCAAACATATTGGAGTGCATGGCATTCATCTGATAGTACATGGCTCCCAAGTAAATCTGCCAGTCGTCGGGATAATCGCATCTTTCCGGTGCGATTTTGGCAGTATCGTAGACCCACACAAAGTGTCCTTTTTCTCGATCGACGTCGATGGTGAGCAAGAATCCCTCTTGTTGTCGCAGAAAGCCCTTGATCAGCTCGATACCTTGCTCCACGGTATCTTTTATCTTGTACTCATCTCGAAAATCCTGCAGGCCACGAAGCCGCTTGAGCGCCCCGTCCACATCATCCTTGGCAATGATCGCCTGATGGACGTACTCCATGTCCGAAACATTGCGAATGTCTTCGGCCGCTTCGGCGGCAGCTTTGATGTTGGCGGCCCATTCGCGCTCCTCGGAAGAAATCTCGCTGATCCGTGCCACTTTGAGAGCCTGGCTGTGCGACGACATGGTGGCAGAAGAAGGTGACAATGAGAGATGAAGATGATGGAGTTTGAAGGTTGCGGGTCAGCAAGATCGAGCCAGCTGCCGCAGTATTGTGGTGAAGACGCTGAGAGACACTTTTGATGAGAGATAGCGGTAGATGACAGCCTCTGACATTGCGGACTAAAAGGACGTTGTGGCGTTGTGGCGTTGCTAAAGCGTGAGAGCTGCGTTGGGCAATAAAAGTATCAGCTTCCCGGAAAGTGTGGCAAAAGCTGAATTTTTGGCGAGGGACATGGGGAATTCAACACTTCAACTGTTGAATTGGGTCAAAAATGTTGAATTTTGATTCAACACCTGTTGAAAAAACTGTTGAATCTAATTCAACACTTGTTGAATTACTGTTGAATAAAGTGTTGAATAATGCACTACTGTAACTAGCAAACTGTTGAATTACTGTTGAACAAAGTGTTGAATATATAGTCAACACTGTGTTGAATAATATTCAACAGTTTTTTCAACAGTTTTGAAATTCAACACTGTTGAAAAATGAAATCCAGCTGAAAATTCAACACTTTTCATCGCCAATTCAACTTTTGCCACACTTTCCCGGCACCGTACCAAGACTCCCTCGATCACCTGTGCAAAGAAAGAGATAATGCAAACAGATGAGGCGCACGCAAGTACGCACGTAGTTTCCAAAATAGTTCTTTAATGAGGGAGAAGCATGATATTTAATAATAATATTGAATGCATTTGCCCTCGTTTGAGTTTCTATTTAACACTTGCCCCAGCTGCTCCCCACGACCCACGACAAAGAAAAGCGGAGATACTTTATTTAGAGCCAAGACTACCGGAAGTGCGTACCGGTACCGATCTCCACATCTCCACTCCAATCGGGCTCTGCCCTCACCGAATGAAGGAGATAATAGATAATAATGATGGCCACAACATCACATAACGAACTCAAGGCAGCTCTACTAGCCAGCAAGCCTGCAACCCAGGACCGGGATGCTATGCATAGATCAAGGGTGGGTACCGGTGACTACGGTAGGCAGCGGGAACGATAGCTATGTACCAGACTGGTACCGGTTGCTCCCTCTACAGCCCCAAATAGACTATCTCCTACTGAGTACATGTAGAGATTCGTGCACCCGCTACCGATAGCTAGCTAGCGGAAAGATTGTTATGCACCTTCAGTCAAAAGGATCCAGGACCGTCCGACGGACTTCTCCCAGGCTTTAAAACCTGCCACGACTGACTCAAAATCCTGGTTCTCGTTAAGCGGATGTAAGAGGATGTGAAGATTTAAGAGGATGTTTAAGAGAATGTTGAGTGTTTAAGAGGATGTTGTTAAGAGGATGTTTATTTAAGAGGATGTTCATTCGTGATAAGAGGAAGTTCTATGGCGTTTCAATGAAGGCTTAAGAGGATGTTTCGAAGCTTTAAGAGGATGTTGTCGAGAGGATGTATATTTAGGAGGATGTTTAAGAGGAAGTTGAAGATTTAAGAGGATGTTAAGAGGATGTTTAAGAGGATGTTGTCAGTCGTGGCAATTTCAATGTTTTTAAATCCTTATCGAAAACCGTCGGACGGTCTAGCTGAAAGTTCCTGATCCACTCGAATGAAGTGCAGGGTTTGACCTATCTAGAATAGGTGCTAGAAATAGAGTTGAGTTGCAGCTCCTCAAGGGCAGACTTTCCAAACAATGGGCGCAACGCCAGGACCAACATCTCAAAGAATGCAACCTCAAGACACACCGGAAAAATGGACAAACATGGCTGACAGGAATCATCCAAGAATTACTCACTCAGTGGTTCGATCTTTGGGAGGCAAGGAACCTTGATAGGCACGGGAAAGACGCCCAAACCAAAGCACAGACAGCCAACCGACAGGCTATCCACGAACTCCAGCTTCTATACGAGAAATACACTGGAAACCTCAGACCAGAACAGGTCTGGCTTCTCCAAACACCAATCAACACACGCTCCCAATGGCCCACAGCATCAATCCGACAATGGATCAACACATGGGAACCAGTCCTTGAAGAGAGTTACGACACACAGCTTGAGACTGGGTAAATGACGCGGGACTTCCACCTCCCACCTTCCCAATTTCCTCCTGCGTCCGCTTCCGTCCTCCTCCTCCTTCCTTTTTCTCCCAGGACACCCAGTAACTCTCTCCCTGAATCCATTTGGCCAAACCCACAAATCTGTTAGGAATATATGTCCGGCAAATCCACCCGAGATATGCCATTTATACTTACATGTAACTTTAAATGCACCATCTCCTCCCCATGGAGTGTGGTGCCGGCAAGGGCACCAGTGGTGGTCTCCTGTGAAACCAATGCCCGCTTCGGCCCGTAGCGGTTACTCAAAGCTTTGGCTGCAGCACAGTGATGATCCATCCATTGGGGCCATATCCGTTATAAAGATTTTGTTGTTTTTAGAAATAGAGTTGAGTTGTCACCTCACGATCTGAGCCAACATCAATCAATTAGGCAAAACCAGCAGATTAACTAATGCATTTGACCCAACTCATTGCCGTGTTTTCACGAGGAAGAACACCAGATCTGGCTCTAGACTCAACTGCTGGATCAACAATTGGACTTTGGGTACGGTTCATCTAGCTAGCTAGCTCTTGCTAGTACTAGTCTACCAGTACAGTCTGTTCTATCTTATATTTATTATTCTTATATTTAATTCTCTTAGATTTATACTTTCAGTGGATTCCCCCCTGAGTCACCAGTGACTAGTGACTCATTGAAGCACCAGAATCAATGAGTGTGGAGATAGACGATGCTGACTTTCAGAGCTATGTGGAGACTGAGTAGTATCTTAGAAAGCTCAGCATCAGTTGTGAGAGCTTTGTCATGCATCTGGATACCACTGAACATCTGGATTGGTTTGCCAGGCCATGTGAATGGCCCATTCGAGTCCTTCCAAGTGAGACACAACTCTACACGAGTTTGTCACTAGCTATTTGTTAGCGCATATTGCTATATTTATTTCTCTCCTTTATTATTTATGCTTGCCTGGTAAGCACACCCAATTAATTTAAAAGAGAACCCACTGAGTACATGTAGTCTACGATGTATTTACTTTCGATTGATTCGATTCGATTCGATTCGATTCGATTCGAACGAGAAGCGAGTCGAGTCGAGTCGAGTCGAGTTCGGACAAAACCACCGTGATGCGGAACACCGAACAAAATCGCTCAAGCCTCAAGCGTGGCCATGGCGCAGATCCTTCCGTCAACACTACTACCGGTATCAATTTCTTTTGACGAGAGGTTGTAAGACGACAATGGAAGGAGGAGGAGCACCAACAACCATCACTACCAGCTACATAGCGAGCGACGATGGCGGCATCACTAGCCTCAATGCCTCCCACAAATCACCAGGAGCTTCCTCCAACCATCACGATGACGACATTCCAATGTCCGACCTCTCGGACCACCAATCTGCCGCTCCTGCTTCCGACGACGATGAGTACCATTGCTTGGAAGATTCCACTACTGTTGTGGAAGATGACAATCAAAGTACAATGATGGTGGATATTAGTCAAAAGGTCCAATCGAGCAACATTACAGCATTTGTCACGCTGCTCAAGGCGCTCTTTGGTGTGTCCCTCTTATCCAGTCCTCGTGTTTTGGGCGAAACAGGACTCGTGTTGGGAGTCCTCGTCTACAGTTTGATTGTGACGGCGTGCATGGGCTCCTGCTGGTGTCTGCTGCAAGCACGGGACAAGGTGGCCACGGCATCGTCGTCCTCTCCCGAAACCTCCACCACCGCCACTAGACCATCCCTCTTGACGGCAACGTCATCGTCGATATCGGCAACCACCACCTTGTCTGCCAACGCCATTACATATGGTGATTTGGGATTATCACTGCTGGGAGTAAAACAAAGTGTCATGATCAACTTTTTGATTGTGTCTTTGCACATTTGCTTTGGAGCTGGGCTGGTGTCCAGTAGCATGCATCAAATTGCTATTGTGTTGGGATGGGATATTGTAGACGATCAATACAGCGATAGCCAATATGAAAACAACAATGATAGCCAAGAGGAGGAAGGAGAGGAAGAAGAGGAACAACAAGATGCCGTTTGGATGGCTGGTAGATGGATACTCGCAGCGATTCTCTTTCCTCTCATTTCCGCTCTGCTACAATTTCGCAACATTAAAGGACTATTTTGGGTATGCTTCGCGGGTAAGTACTGTACTTATTGTCATGGACATTCGATTCCAAATAATTTTGAGTCGAATCGAATCCTTCCCGTGACACGAGAATGGTCAGCAGAATGCTCAAATACTATCGCCTTTTTCATGCTCGCTTCCAGGATTACTCGTCTTTTTGGTGGGATGTGTGGGGACCATGGTATACTCAACAATACTCGTCGACAATGATGGAGATGGAAGCTTGATATGGGACCTTCCCGATGATGCTTTTGTTTTCAAATGGGGTGGAATTCCAGATTTTGTGGCATCCACGCTCTGTGCCATGGAAGGGATCAACCTTGCCTTGCCCATTGCCAACAGCTACCTAGCGAGTGCAACGCTCAAGAGCGAAAACAAAAACTATCAATCCGCAAGTGCGGAAATACCAAAAAAGTCACTCATTTCCGTGGTGACATCTGCCATTGGAGCGTTTGGCGCCATGACGTTGTTGATTTCCATTTTTGGTTACTCGAGTGGGTTGGGAGGTGGTGAGGGGACCAAATACGACAAGGGAAGCGATGATGATAATGCCGACTGTCGCACGGTCGCATATTGCTTGGACTCGGAGTTGCTCTCCAATGTTCATCGACTCTCCTTGGCTGCCGCACTCATCTTGACACTGCCCATCATCCTGTACCCGTCTCTGGAAATGATTGAAAAGTGGGCAGAAGAACGACACCGACAATTGAAACATGGCAAGACATCCTCGGGGCAAACTGTTGGAAGTTCCTGGAATGGATTTGTGTTCCAGAAACCTCCCGAAACCTTGCAACGAAAACTGCAAATTGAAGAGTTTCTATTTGGAACGGAACCATATTTTCCTGGATTGCATCGCCACTGGAGGTATCGCATCGCCCATGCATCCGCTGTCTGCCTTTTGGCCATTGCGGATCGACCGTGGAATCGTGCATTGGTACTGTACAAGGGGGTGGGTCTATCGATAGCCTGTTTCGTGTTGCCCGTCATGTTGTACATCCGAGCAAGCACACTTCCCGTGATACTGGCGCAGCCGGGGCTGGCAGCTGCGCTCGCGGGGTTGACGACTTTGGGACTAGTCAACCTTGTCCTCGTATTCTTGTCGGTTTTTACAGAACATAACTATTTGCCTACAGAGCTCCACGAAGGCCCCCCGGGGCCACATCACGGAGAGGAAGAAGAAGCGGCTCACTTTTAGACCTCCAGAACGAAATGTGAATATCAGGTCAGGTGTAATTCAGTTGCTGTTATAATGCTATAGAATGGTTGATTTGTGGTAGCGGTGTCTCCAGTGGCGTTGTGTGGCGAAGCCTTTCGCTGGGGGGGGGGACAGATCGAATCATTGCTGAAGGTGGAACCTGTCGCTCCACTTTTTAAGGTGCAACGAAGTCAGGACAAAGATCAAAGGCGCCTTCGTCTGGAAACCGAAGGTCGGTGGGTACGAATGCCAACCCCCTGATTCCGATTGAATTCGGATGAGTGAGTACATGTAGACCCAACCCAGTGAAGGGGTACTGGCAGTCAGAGTCAATCGAGTCTGCTCACTGACTCGATCAGTCAGTGAGCAAAATTGCAACTTTGAATTGAATTCAGATGAGTGAGTAGACCCAAGCCAGTGAAGGGGTACTGCCGGTCAGAGTCAATCGAGTCTGTTCACTGACTGGATCAGTCAGTGAGCAAAATTGCAACTTTGAAGTGTGACTGATTCGAAATTTAAATCTTACACTACAAAACGCCACAAAGTTGCGCTGCCCATGTGAGACGCTCAACAAAGAACAGTTTTCTAAATCGTTCAACAACCAACAATACTGCAGCCTAACCAAGCCGACTACTTGCTCTCCTCACAATCTCAATTCCGAAGGATTCTGTGAATTGAATCGAATCACTCCATTGTGTCCTCTTAAAATCTTACCATTTGCAACCATGAAGTTTTCCTTGATCATTGCTGGATTGTTCACTCTGGTGTCCGTGGCTCAGGCTTCTGTCATTCAAGAACAAGAACCCAACAACGACATTAACACTGCTCAGGTTTGTCCATGCTCTTGTTAGCTATCTAAATCAAATGTCCTTCCCCTCACCGTGGCATTCTCCTTTGTACTTTGCAGCACATCCCTGTTGCTGCCTTCACTCTTGGGTACAATCCTATTATTGCAAACTCTGATACAATTCCTTGGGTAACCATTGAGGGTACTGGGGATGGTACCCATGACTTTTACTCATTTTTGGTCCCCAATTCGGGAATGATTGCATCCTTCTTTGATATTGACGATACGAACAGAGGCAAGCGGTTTGATTCATTCCTCACTCTCTATGACCCAAATGGAAACTACCTTACACATCAAGATGATGTTGATGATACTCAAGATGATGTTGGCGATATTAGTCAAGATCCTGGCTCAAATACACGTGTTGACTCCTACATGACCTACACCTTCAATACTCCTGGCACATACACCATTGCTGTGAGTTCATGTTGTGGTCTTCCCGAACAGAACTTATCTAATGATGTTCGAGATGGTGCTTTGTACCAGTTGCACATTTCCCTGGGCTATTCGGAAGCACAGCTTCGAGCGGCAAAGGGCATAACAGACCCACCCCAGGAAGAACAGCCTAGAGAAGCGCATGGCATGGGAGACCCACATTTCAAGGTACCACTCAGCAAGCCAGGATCAGTCCGGTTGATGATTTTTGCTTGGACTAACCAAGTGTTCTGTTTTGTTTGTTGTATTTAGACATGGATGAATGAGTGGTACGACTTCCATGGAGAGTGTGACTTGATCTTTATCAGCAGCCCTGAGTTTGATGAGGGAACTGGATTGGACATCCACATTAGGACAAAGGCACGCAACCAGTATTCTTACATTGAGTCTGCTGCTGTTCGCATTGGGGAGGACACATTTGAGCTTGGTGAATATGGTGGTTACATGGTGAATGGAATCTCCAATGCTGATCTGGACATGTTTGACAAATACTCCATCAAGCACGAGAAGAAGAGCCCCAAGCAGGATATCTTTGTGATTGAGCTTGGTGGGGGCAAGCAGATTGTCCTGCAATCCTTCAAGGACCTTCTCAGCATCAAGACAGTTGGTGCCTCCCCTTTGGAGTATGAAAATAGCAAGGGTCTTTTGGGAGACTACAAGACTGGCAAGTGGCTTGCCCGCAATGGAACTGCCCTGACAGATGCTAATGCCTTTGGAAATGAATGGCAGGTTCTGGAAAGCGAGCCCAAGCTCTTCCAGGTCAACAGGGTTCCACAGCATCCAGTCACTTGCAATCTGCCTAGTTTGAATCAGGTGGGCCGTCGTCGTCTTGGTGAATCCGTTGCCCAGACAGCTGCCGAGAAGGTCTGCGGACACTGGGGAGACCAAAAGGATCATTGCATCTATGATGTCATGGCTGCTGGAGATTTGGAGCTCGCGGAGGCTGGAGCTTTTTAGGCAGTGACCAATTAGGGAAGATCAAAGATCCCAGCTCGGCTGGCTTTCATGGTTAGACAAGTTTGTTTGTTTGTTTTAGACTCTAGTCATGCGCCAAGAACGTAATTCCTCCGTTCACGTCGTTTCAAACCTTTCTTGTCTATGGTGCGGGCAGCTCCGATAATAGTAATGGTACCTGGTATTGACCGGCGTTTGTCCGGGCGCAAAGGCTCTGTGTAGGTAAGGTATTTGATTACCACCTCAAAGATCTCATCCGCAGTCCGCTCAAACAGGGCTAAGTTGATATAATTTTGATAATTCATCGTCTTATCGCCCTGGTGGGCAAGGTATCTAGGCTCGATTGATGGCATATGGAGACGTTCTGAAACTTCTCGTTGGATGAGAGTTCCGTACCGGTACGGGCCTAGCCACGTTCTTCACGAATCGGTCCACCTCGCCGTCGAAAGTTTGCCCTTTTCGGAATATTTTTCCTTCCTTTGCCTTTTTCTCCCGGTAGAGCTGACAGCAATGAGATGATTGCATCCGCCAGCAACTTCGACTACTGGCACCTTATGTCAATAGAATCAAGTTCCCCAGCTCGAGACACGCATGACTGCAGCGATCTTCGGTCCATTTCGTCGGAGCGTCGGAGCGCGCATTGGCCTCGTTGACCCGTACTTGAAGCTTTGAGGATAGCCCCAGCTAGCTAGTAATAGAGTAGCTTCATTCCTTTCGAAGCCCAGCCTTTGAGTGGCAACGGCGAAGTATCGAGGGCCCAGCAACGCCGAAGCGACAGTGCATGCAACACACCCTAACCAGCCACACACTTGGGAAAAGGCCAGATACAGTGCTAGTTATCAGTTACTGGGATAGGTTGGAACGAATAGCGGGCCCCAACCGGCGAGCACCATGGTGGACGGACAAACTTTGTGTCCGACTCAGATAGCGCCCATCGAAGGCCCTCATGGTCAGCATTGCCATGATATGAAGGAATGGATTGTTTTCTCCTGGCTGTTGCTACAAATTGTCTACAACCTTTTTTGCGCAGTTGCATAGCGGGATCGTGTTGTTCAAAGTCTCCCTTTTCACCACCAGCTAGCTACTCGTCATCCATGAAATCTTCGTCATCCTCTTCGTCGTCGTCATCTTCCTCCAGACCAATATCTAGTGGCAAGTCGGGCAATTTGTAGGCTTGCTCCACCTGATATCGTACACTGAGAAGGCCGTGTACTTTTTGCAACAGATTTTGTTTGGCAACCTCGGCATTGGGCGTCAAAAAGATCTCGTCCAACCGTCCATCGTAGCCATTGAATGTGCAGCCCAGATGAAACTTTCGCACAACCTCTGGGCCCAGCATGGGTTTTATGAAGGAATAAAGAATGTTACCTACCATGGGCGTTCTCAACCAACTGAGTTCCTTGTGTTTCATCGGATAATTCTCGTAGAGATGAGAAAAGTTCCGTGTCACCCCCTCGTAGGAGAAATTCTCCCATCCCATTCCTGTAAAAGGAGGGAGAGATGAACGAACAGAGGGTGAGATACAGGTGTCAGGGCACAATAGACAGACGGCACAGAGAAGAGAAGAGCTGGAGAGGGGTAGCTTGCTCGCTGGCAAGACAACAACGTACCTTCACATTCACAAATGTGGACTATACCTTCCCGACAGGCATGTATATTGTTTTGCAAGGCATGCATCAGATAGTACATTCCACCCAGATGACCTCTCCAGTCTTCCTCCGTTTTCACCTCGTGAGGTTTCCTCCTGGCGTAATCGTATATCATGACATAATGTCCATGGGTTTCATCGATATCGACAGATAAGAGAAATCCGGGATGTTTGTTCATGAAAGCATTCACCAATTCCACACCCTCCTCGGGGGTATCGTGAATCTTGTAATGTTGCCGAAACGCTTGCAAGCCACGGACCCGAGCCAATGCCACTTCGGTGTTCTCTCTGGCAAAGATGGCCTGATGCACGTACTCGAAATCAGACAAATTGTCCACTTCGTCATCTGCTTCCACGGCAATCTTTAGAGCCCACGCCCCCTCGAGTTCCTCTTCGTTCAGAACCCAGAGGTCTATGTGGGCAGCTGCTTGTCGCTGCTGTTCTTGTCGCTCTTGACTTGTCATTTAGCCTGTTACAAAGCTAGAGCGTACCGTGCAGGGTTGTTGACAGTGTTGATAATGAGGGTCAGTGCAAGTCGATCGTTGGGCTTCGGATTAGAGCCAACAAACAGAACAAAAAACTGGAGCCAACCACCAAAAAGCAAAAAAGGGTTGTCGCCTTTGGTGAGCACAGCGGCGAAGTCAAGAATCGACGTCGTCAGGATTTACAGCACTTGTCACCCAAGAGTCCAGACTGTCCGGAAAGAAGCCCTTGGAGAGAGTCCCAGGTCCCAGTACACTCCTCCCTTGATATTAAGCACTGGAGGCACTCAGATCTGAACTACCGGTAGAGGTAAGATGCTCAGTGAGTACTCTCACTTGCGCACATAAAGAGATTGAGAGATGATACTATGACATTTTCTACAACAAAATGCCTTTATAAAAAGGTGCCAAAATTGGCAATCTTTTGGCCTCCGGCAGGTGATAATCGTATGCTCTTTGCGCTCTTCACCTTAGTTAGGGCATGCTTAGTATGGTGGGAAACAGAGTAGAATTGTCCCATAGCACTCTCTTCCTAACCAGAGTATTAAGATACTGCATTTACACATGTGATAGATCCTGAGCTAAGATAGAGTCTAAGTTCAGATGAATATTAAATTTTGTGATACTGCTATGATTCCCCCAGTAGTGAAGCAAACTTATAGACATCTTGATATCAAGGTCTGCGTGTACCAACAAATTCCAAGCACATTTTGCAGCGAAAAGACAAAAGAGAGTGACGACACTGCCCCCACCGTTTGCCCTAAATGAAAGAAATCATGGGTGATGTGTTCCCCGCTGTGAGGGCACAGGGAGAACCCCAAAGGATGCGAGAGCAAGGTCACAAAAACTCCAGATGCGAGAGCAAGGTCATAAAAACTCCTGATGCGAGAAAGCTTGCGTGAGCAAGGTCATAAAAACTCTCTCTTTTACCGGCACCTCGCACGTCATCAACTTGAATGGGCAACTGTGCGTATGGTGCGTTTGCTTCAAATTTATCTGTGCGTCCAAGTCTAATTGCCGTCTGGCCTCCATCCGCGGATTACTTCTTACCAACAAACTAAAATAATTGGGAAGGGCGGGGGGCCGCTTGTCCTGACCACTTCCAAGACAGTTGAATTTGGAAGCCGTGATAGACGAGACGACCATGGTGAGTGGTGCCAAATGATGTTGCCTTGTCTGCGTTGCGATGTTGCGTCACCCAGTTGCTTGACAGTTGTATCGTTAGTTAGTTTCCCATGCCTCACGCTTTTCTTGCTCCGTTGTTGTTGTTGACCACAGCCATCCCAAAAGACTTTCCGCACCAAGCGCATTCTGGCCAAGAAGCAGCGTCAGAATCGGCCTCTGCCACAATGGATTCGTCTAAGGACAGACAATAAGATCAAGTGGAATGCCAAGCGTCGTCACTGGCGCCGAACCAAGCTGGGAATCTAAATTATATATTATCTTGGAGGAACGCGCAATGCAATGCAGCTCTACAGACAGACAGTCAATCAATCAACTTCCAACCAAATTACTTTTACTACCTGAAGATTCAATGATAATATTTAGGGAACTCCCATGCAACAAAAACTATCTCTCTCCCTTTGTCTCTCGTTCCAGTTCTGTCCAGATTATTGATTGCCGTATCAAGGTGCTGCATAGAAGGAGTGAGCAAGAAGATTGGTGAATCATCAATCCGACGGCGCAATCTGCTTCCATACGATGGCGTCTCACAAAACTCTCATCCCAGCTAGTAGTCGTTTAGCTATACATGCAGTAGTGAGGACAGGGATCCTGACCTCGTTGCAAATAGATCGCGGAGCGGATCGGGACAGCTGATGGGTGTCCTGCTGTGCACCGGCCACATGTAGCTTTGATGGTATTCTCACAGTGTAGATTTCGTCCCGGTTCCATTGCTTGCAGCACATCTGCCCCGGTTCACCCAACCTCGAGTGCTTCACTGCATGCAGGGCTTATCATGGGCCCAAGCTGGTTTGTTCACTTCCCAATTCCTGCAACTACTAGCTAGGTTGATTATGCGAGTATCAGGACGAATGTACAATGGATCAACCTGAACTATAGTTTTCTAGGACTAAGCCTTGTGGCAGAGCAAAACAAAACGATCCGTGTTTTTCATTGGGTTTGTCCAGGCAGAGCTTCTGTAGTTGTCGTTGGAGAATGCAAACATGTCGCTCTGTGCCGTGACGAGAAAGCCATTCTGCTCGAGCTCCTCGCGCACGACACATGCTTCAATTCTATGAAGGCCTCTATTGGCACCCGCGTCGCGGCACCCACGACCCTTGCCGGCCTGATGATCAATCAACAAGAAACGACCTTGTGGCTTGAGCGCGGTCCTTATGGATCGAAAGAACTTGGTCCTGTCCACTGGCATATCGTAGAGATCGTGAAATGTATTCTGCATGGTGATCAAGTCGTATTCGTTGACTTTGCCAAGCCCAGGGTCCTCCATGGAAGACCAATAGTGCTGGATGGATCCATCCTTTTCCATTCTGGCAATTTCCTTTTGGATGCCAATGGATTCAAAGAAACCGCGCCATTCACTGCCATTCTGGACGTCCACTGTCTTGGACGACACCTTGGACATGTGCTTGGCAAGGTACCCGTATCCGGTCGTCACATCCAAAACTTTGTCCGTGCTGGAGAGCTGTGCGAACTGGAGCAACTCCTCGGGTTTCCGGAACGAATCTTTGTAGGATTCCTTGCTCATTGCTATAAGGTTTCTGGCTCCTGGTGTCGGTTAGTCTACCTCCTGTTTGGATTTGTGAGCATCAATAAGGCAGGGTGCCAGCGGACCCCAATGCGGATCCTTTCCCCTGGAGGTGATAGATAGCATAAGGTGTTGTTCGATGAAGCTCAAAGATGATCGAGACATGCGACGAGATGTTTTGTAATTACAGCCTGAGCTGGGTTCTCCACTCAATATTAAGCCATCTAAGCGGTTTGTTTGCACAGCCAAGGTATCTTTCGCTTCCTTCTTGAGAAGCCGAAGCACCGCCAATTTCTTTGTTCTGAGCTGAGTGGAGACAAGGACATGAAGAGCATCCCTTGCTGACCATTGTCTATCCCGTAGCTATCTTTATTTGGAAACGGTTGTCTTGTACTGTACTAGAAGGGGCAAGATGATGTCGATCAGAGCTGGTGTGATTCGGTCTGCTATGGCTGTCTCCACAAGACGATTATCGATACCCATTACACAAACTGCAAGGGTCACTTCCGCCAACCGACTCTACCAGGGATATTCCAAACAATGCTACACCACGAGCACTGTGGCGTTGTCATCATCATCCGAACTGTCGAAGTACTATCACGTTGAAGTCTCCAATGCCGATCGACCCGATGCTACCCGAATCACCGTCCGAGGACCAGATGTGGATGGGATTTTGGCGTCCATGACGGTCGCGTTGGCGCAAGAAGGATGCAGTTTGAAGGAGTTGCATGCTGGTTACGCCAAAACCGAAACCGTCTCTTATGAGCAAAAGGGACGCAAAGATGATCAAATTGAAGACATTTTTTACGTGGCACAACACTCCACGGGAGAACCTTTTCCCGACGATGCCTTGCAGGATTTGGGGTTGAGCCTGCTGGCATCCCTACGAACGCCCATGGTGTGCTTGTCGGGGAAACAGACACAGGTAGATTTGAAACAAGAACATCATCAAGAACATGACCACGAAAATGATCAGATTACCATTGTCAAATCCAAGTAATAAATGTGTTAAAAGCAGCAATTGACAGCCCCCCAGAGCTTGGCGGATTTTTGGAGCAGACGGAAAACCTCCCCATGAGACGAAAACAAAGAAACAGTTTTGAAATGAGAGAGAAATTAGGTGCTTCGCAGAATGCACCGTGGGTACTAATTTTATATTACCATTAGTTTAGAACTTGCTATTAGTACTATACCTCTATGGTCCAATAGCCACGGTTGTACTTGACGTACATCAAGCACTCAAAATGAGTAGGCGTCATAGATTTGTGTTGATTGATGAGTACATACTCACTGTAGAGCTGCCAAACGGGCTCCTTGCTTGATTTGAACAGGAACAGAGGTGTTAACCCTCCCCTGTTTAAAAGAATCCTATGGAAGATCAAAAGAATCATCATCTGAAAGACAAGTCTCCACAGTGACAGGAGTAGAAGATCTTGGAAGGCTGGATGGGGAGTCAGGTGGGGACATATCTTAAATATAAGAAGTATTAGTATTAAGGCAAACTACCTATCTGGTCCGGAGGACCTTTGTCAACGCTGTTATGAATTGAGCCCGAGGGCCCAAGCAAATGAGTCGTTTATGCGAGTGGTCGCGCGACACGAGGGGAACAGCATTCAGTTTCATCGAAACAAGAGGATATTCCTCATAGAAGCACGAGCATAACTAGCTAACTAGTCTAATGTCATCTTTCACCTCTGTCCACCAACCTAGGTTGGTTTGGTCGGCGATAGCATGGCGGATGGACCTCGGCAAACGGGCTGTGTGTGCAGCAGTGGTGTCGCCCTGGTGCCACCGGTTGAGGTGGAGGAGGATCTGGGTGCGGAGTTGTGTGTGTGTGTGTGACGTTTCTTCATCCACTTGTTCAGCTCTGGGTTTAAATTACTCAATTAGTTTAGCAAACTATGGGCCACGGAGTGGCTTTTATGACGCGGGCAAGTGGTGGGGAAGCCCCCACCTAGCTCAGTAGTCATCCACATAAAATTCTGCACAGTATCAGGTCATTCTCAAGGGTCCCGGATGGGCCCCCCATTAGTGGACAATGCTGCATGGGTGCAGGAGAAGGTGACAAAGGCAGCACCTGGAGCGCGGGGCAATACGCAGGGTTTGAAAAGCATGTTACTCTTGGGTCGTAGTTCTGCCAGTCTGTGGGTAATTGTGCATGGATTGTTGGAGTTGTCGTGTTGTGCGGCGGTGGTATGTCGTGCTGAGTCGGCCATAGGCAGCCCTCGCCAGCTTGATGGTGTCCAGCCAGCGGAGAGTTTTCGGGAGGGACAGGTTGAGATTGATTTCCCTGTAGTCAAGGTGAAGGCGCCAGCGGTCGGTGGGAGGTAATGTGGCGTCCACTTGTTCAGCTCTGCCATTTGCTTGTGCGAGCATGGAGTGTTGGTTGAGCATCTTCTGAAGATGTCCCTCAGGAGAACAGTGAACACGAAGACAACAATCTGGGAGAGTTTGCAAGTCGTAATGAGCTTCGAAATAGAACGACAGGTCTCCCATGAAGTCAATTTTCAACTGTTTGCCAAGAGCTTTCTCGAACCAAGTCTCCGTTGCTTCGTTGGTACCCCAATAGAGGCAATCATCAATGTAGGTTCCGAAAGTCATGTTGCCACCAGAGGGAGATTTCCCAACGAAGACGCATGGGTCATGTTTGCATACCTCCATTTCGAGAGAAGCAAGTACCTTGCAGAACGTTTGGTACCAGTGACGAGGGCTACTGTGTAATCCGTACGATGTTTTCTTAAGGCGCCAGTATGAACCTGGCTTGGAGTACCGACAACCCTTGGGAGGGATACAGACACAGATTTCTTCACCTTTGGGTAGTACCGGTATGGGACGGCCGAAGGTGTTCTTGGCATTCCACTGTTTGATTCGTCGTCCCTTGGATATGGCTAAAGATATGATATTATGGCCCGGACTCTGTGTTTCATAATGGTGTAGCACACTCTTAAGGAACTGGCTAGTGTGACTCATGAGCGACAAGGGGTCTCCAGAGTGGCTTGTCACTCGTTGCCTCATCCTTTGCAATCAGTAGCTCTAGCTAAGCTAGGAAATCAGCTATAGTATATCCAGAGGAGCCAAATCTATTATGTCGTCCGTGGGGGGCACAAACTAGCTAGACGATGTTCCAGGCATCAAGAAAATCGTTACCCTGCAATTTTGTTTGGGTGTGTGATTCACTTCTGGCTGCTTGCAATCCAGGTCCTCCTGAGTGTTTCTCTTACAACTATTGTGGTGGTCTGAGAGCATCATCTGCGGCTACGGGTACGGTGGCAGCTAGCCAGTAGGCTCGAGCTACGACTAGCTAGCTAGAGCCAGCTGGCTGAATTTGGGCATAGGTAGGGTACATGTACGGATACCATGTACGGGTACCGGTATTGTACGGTGCTCCCTTTGCCGAAATTTAGAGCGAACTTTGATTGTCGACCACGGTCACGTTGTCACGTTGTGGGTCTTGTTTTGGCCGTCACCAGCGTGAGAAATTTTGCCGTGTCTGCTTTTTTTCAATTTTGGGGGGGTTCAGAGTAGGGAAGTTATCTACGGAAGCCAGTTGAAATGCCTTCAACAAATGAGATCTGATGCACCTCGTACCGAACCTTTCGTCAAAGCAGACCCAGGAAAAAGATGAGATAAAAAGATTCTGTTTAGCTAGGTCGTGCTGAAGTAGATCCAATCATTCGCTGGCTAGTGTACCATAGGTCAAGAGTTGAATCAGATAGATTGTACCAGTTTCATAATTCAGAAAAGAAGAAGAAACAACAACGGCTGAGGAATAATGAAGAGCGCAACGACAACCGCGACGACCATTCGTCCCAAGGCATCGCCTTCTTCTTGGGAAAGCACCAACTCAAAAGAAAAGGCTCCAAGCCTGACGCTGAAGGATACAAAGGTCGCAAATGATGAGGCAACTCCTCCTACTAAGGTCACTACATCCGGCAAGACGGGAGGATTCTACGATCAGCAGACTCTATGGGAACAAGAACTCCACCGCTATCATCCCTCCTTTTGGACATTGGTACGAGTGATAAGTCTCATTGGGTTTCCCTACTTGATGAGTGCCATTGGATCCTTCTTTTGGCCTCTGGTTGTGGAATTTGCCGAAGCCAACGGACTCAAAGTGGCCCGGGTAGCTCAGGCAGCCATTGCTTTGGTCGGCGGGTTGGCGTTTGTCGCACACAATGCATTCTTTGCGGCCATCTACTACTTTAACATTCCATCCTTTGACCAATATCGAGTGGATGACAAGCCGTGGCATTGGGATATGCTAGGTGTCAGTGGATGGCGAGAAATGCTACGCAACACCATCCTACAGATCCTGTTTAATTTTATCGTTGTCAACGCTCCCGTCATGTACTTGATCTCACGCCGCTGGGGTGGACTCCCCTTTCGCATGGACGCCACCAGCATTCCATCGGGCGGAGAAATCTTTTGGCAACTCTTGTTTTGCACCGTCATTGAAGACTTTTGCTTTCACCATTCCCATCAACTGTTACACACCAAACAACTCTACTGGATTCACAAGGTGCATCATCGATACCACGCTCCCATTTCCATTGCGGCCGTATACGCACACCCCCTTGAAACGGTCTTTGGCAATATCTTTCCCTTTGTCTCGGGTCCCTTTTTGTTGCAGTATCGCATGCACGGATGGGCCTTTTGCATTTGGAGCATTTTTCGACTGGCGGCATCTCTGGAAAATCATTCGGGCTATGAGTTCCCGTGGTCCATGTTCCAGGCCATTCCCTTCAAGGCACCCACCGAATATCACGACTTTCATCACAATCGCAATCAAGGAACGTATTCCGGCGTGCTACGATTCTGGGATTGTGTGTACGGTACCAATAAGCACTATTTTGAATGGGTCCGTGCCGGACGTCCGGATACATTCAAGACCCAAAAGTTCAAAGAACAAAAGCAAAAGTAAGACAGCAATCTTCATTACAGAACGTAGTACCGTACCTATAGATACCGGTAGATTGGGCCACTCCGTCAAAGAAGCCCGATGTAACACAATCTCTTTTTTTGCAATGGCAAGCATGATGAGGCCAGTCGAATAAAACAAAAAGTATTTCTTTAGAAGACAAACATCTACAAAGTATGATCTGCTCAATAGCTCTTTCAGAGCACTCTGCCATGTTGTCCCTTCGGGCGGGTTGATCAGGACGCAGCCCGCTGTTAGAAAGGTATTTTCGTATGATGGACAGACGACTCGGGATCCGCAATCACGGTTCGTGATTGGGGATGTGTGACTCAAATCAGATGGTTATCCGATCATCATCAGATGGCCAGGTGTACAAGGAACGAGGACAATGGTCGTCTAGATGATGCAACTACAAAGGTTAGG